TAAACTTTTTCTTGAATGTCCTTATTTCTTTTATGTAATCGTTTCAGTAAGAATACTCACCTTCAAAAGAAGTCAAAAGTCGAAAAATTTCAGCTTTAACAAGCTGAATCTAGCAAAAATGCTGCGAAAATGCGGCAGGAATCAGCTGATCGAGAGCGTCAGCAATTATCGATCGCGAGTCCAGAGCGGAAGAGTGAGTAGACGGTGCGGCGGCGTGTGTTAGAGCGCAGAGTCAGCATCAGAGACGTAGAGGCAATGATGATCTCCTGAAAATTTTCGCCTTTCCATCGACACGCAATCACCGGAACGCTCGCCAGCGTGGTCGTAGGGAACGCCCCACCGTCCGGTGAGAGCTCCACTGTACACCGTGACCTGACTGATTCGACGCCAAAGTGCTATGAGGAGATTGGGCTGCGTTCATAATTTAATTAATTTCCACCAGTAGCGCTCGAGGGACGGAAGAATATCTAGCTTTTGATATCACATCTGCCAGTGACCAGCAGCAGATTGCTGACAGAGAGAATGAGCGATAGGAGGGTTCCAGCAATCTGCTACCCTGTGATCTACCAGTACTCCACCAGCTGTCCCCTACCCTCCAATCGTGTCATACACTCCACTCCCGGAAATGAGATGCGGGATCGATACCTATACTTCGCTAGCCCTCGAGACGCTGCCAGGCGCTAGATCGATATCTATACTTTCCTAGTCGCTGACGCTGCCGGACGCTCGGAACGCTAGTGGACGCTATTGGTTGCTGATGGACGCTGCCGCAAAGTATGAACGTAGCCTTAGAGACACACAAGCTTTGCACGTAGAGAGGTGCCTCGGACGTCCAGAACAGCACCTTAAGCTTGTTGAATAGAAAACATGATCTAGGATGGTGTTCGTTGTTCTAAGTATGTCCACTACTGGTGGTGGGTGGACCGTCACTAAATGAAATCTGCTGCTTAATTGGTTCTCTCGAAATAGATGTGTTTTAGTGTTTTGGATTCAACGATGGATCGTCACATGTTCCGTAAGCAAGATGTCGCAAGGGCATACCAAATTGTTGCAAGCAATCGTCATGCTGGTGAACTCGTGTTCAATTACCTCTTCGAGCACTGGGATGAAATCCACTCAAGGTTGTTATATTTTCGTTTCTCTACCTGCTCATTTTATCTCTTCACTCTTTACTCCTTCCTTCTTGAACTTCCATTTCGGTTTCTCACACATACTTCAATTCTCACTGCGTTTCCTTTTATTTATCCCGCACCGCGTGAATATGAGTGGTTTTCGGTGTTTTCTTTTTTTTGGTGCTCTCAAAGCTTTTCTAATCAGTTCGAGAGGGTATGCATACTAGAGACAACGACATTGTTGACTTACTTTCTGCCACACTCGGATCACTTGCGCTCTACTTTGCTTAATTCTCTGATGGAGAGGGGGAAGCACCGGCGGCGCGCATGCAACGCGTGCCGGGCTGTGCCGTGGCAGTTGGACTCCTATGGTCATGGATACGATGATACCTCATGAGCTTTTTCACCCCCTGCCGTAGTAAAAGCACCAAAGTGTGTGATAATGACATTTATCCGTGTTGGAGTTAACGATCCAGTTTGCTCGTGAAGACAAGTCCTCATCTCTGAATAAGGCCTTATGCTGTTTTCTATTTCCGCATTTGCCGGTGCTGTTAAAACGTTCATCCGACCGAGGCACTTCCTTCCGCCAGGGAAATTCTTGCAAAATACGATTTGCCCCCAAACCCCCCCCTCGTAGTACACCGCCCCGCCCCCCGCCCACCTTTTCATTCACCACACTTCCTACCCTCTTCCTGAGCTTTCTCAGCTTCCTATTCCTTGTTCGCCTTATCGCCCATTTCTTCCACACATTGCGTCCGCGCTGCAAGTAAGTTCATCCATGGGAAGGGACGTAGATGCGCTGATGCTCCTCCTTCCCCACCCCCCAGCGAATTTGCTTAGTGCCGTCCAAGCGATGCAAAACGACAAATTCCAAGGTTTTCATTGTGCACTTTTCAGTCTTCACCATGACCATTCTATATTGCAAAGGGTGATTTCCGTGTGCCTTTCTGCAGGTTACACTCACGAACACCTTGAGAAGGTCTGGTTTTTGAATTTATTTAATTTTATTTTTATACCATGGGCGGATCGATCAGTAAGGTTGTAGGGGCTTTGAACGTACAATTTCTGCATTGCAGTCTTTACCACTAGGCTAGCCGGGGCATGCCTGTTTATTGGCGTGGCGCTAACCTTTTTCCTTCCAGCGTTACGGCCGTTGATGGAGATCAATAAGTGATGGAAAAGGGGCTGGCACTGCACTAAAACTCATGCATCTCTAACACGCCCTGACTAACTTCGGTGACAGACCAAATAGAGGGGGCACACCTTGAATGGACGGGGCACTGGGCTGGCAGAGCAAATGGGGGAGACATGCCCAAAATGGGCGCGGCGTATTCGAGAGGAGCGGCGCTTTTTGTGCCACTGAAGAGCCATAATTTGGCCACAAAGCAGCTTGGATACGGGGAAAAGTGGAATAAGGTTAGCGTTGGGTTGGCAGAGCAAGTGGGGCGTGCGACGAAAGTTGACGAGCAGTGGAAAATTCATTATTCAGCTCCAGAGCGGCGCCGTGATAGGGGGCTGGGGAAAGCGGAATAAGGTTAGCCGAGAGTTGGCAGACCAAATGGAGGGGACACACCCGAAATGGGCGGAACGCACTAGAAATGGGCGGTGCTTCCGGCATCATTGGAAAAAGTCATAATTCGGCTACAGAGAAGCTCCGAGATGGGGAAAAAGGGGAATTAGGTTAGCAGTGGGTTGGAGAAGAAATGGAGGAGACACACTTGAAACGGGCGAGGTGTACATGAATGGCCGGTGTTCCTCACAATGGGCCGTAACTTGGTTTCCGAAAAAGTTTAGAGATCGCGGAAAAGTCCATGAAGGATATGAACATCTGGCAAAAGTCCGCCATGTTCGCGGCATGCTAAGGTCCGCCCTTAGCGGGCGGGGACAATAAAACATGACAATACAAGCAAAACGCAATTTCCTAACATTTGAGGTATTGCTCATGCTTCAAAGTCCGAATAGAAGGTGATGAAGATGACAAAGGCTAGAAATGAAGAAACGAATGTAGATGTAAATAAAACAAAATTGAAAAAAAAACTAAGGAAACGCAAATTAATTAAAATCGCGTGTGCATTTCTGCGATCCGGCTCGAATCCTCCAAAGCCATAGAAATACTTCAAACTAACGAGTGGGACGCTTAGGCCGTTTTATTTTCATGTTTTGTGGAAATGCGCGGCCTCTGAGGGATATTGCAGAAGCAGCACAGTTGCTCTTGAGTTCTAGCCCTCGTCATCATCTTCGGTCCTTATTTTGCAGCACCTAAAATGTTAGCTGCATTCGACACGCCCCGCGCGGACGGTGTTAGTAAAAACGTGAGTTTGCGAAATGGGCGGTGTAGCAAGGAATTAGACTTTCCCACGGCCCCGTACTCTGACCCCGTGCAGTTTTGGGCGGGGAAACCACGACACATCGACAGCTGGGGGGCTAATAGTCTCATACACCTCAATTGTGTTTGAGTGTCTTGAAGTTTGACCATGTGTCTTTTAAGTAAAAATCCCAGATCTCGCCAGAGTGCCGTCCCCGGGTTTTTTGACTTCCTGAACACGACACACCGAAAGTGTTTAAGCAGCGCGCTGCAGACCCCGGCCGCTTGGGGCCAGCGCGCCTGTGAGAGAAGGAGAGAGTCAAAGAACCTCATTAGTTCCTTTAGAGAACTTGTTCAGCAAATCCCAAAGGTAGATTTGAGTTCGTCGTGTCAAGGGGCGTACAGCGGTGTGCACCTCATGGCAAGTGGCTGCACTGACTCTTTACTACACTGGTCAGTGCTTTGTGTTTGCTCGTTCAGTTATCCATTGAGATATCGGATACAGGAACGGAATCAAAACTGAACGCGCTGAATGTATCTATGTGAGGAGTCTCACCATATTGTTAATGCTCGATGTCAAGCGGAACGGGAGAAGTACACCGTGCGCCTTAACGAAAAAATCCGCCTGTATTTCGAACCAAGATAGTCTCCTCGAGAAGGTCGTGAGAAAGACAGGGATTAGGGAAGAGATGTGATTATGATTATGATTTATTATCGGTTAGCAAAGCAGAACAAAACACAACATAGTTATTGAAATTGACCGATAAGCGGCAGCATGCAATTAATGAACAAATGATAAAACAAAGCAGCACATGGAAATAAGTTGTAGACAATGGATTGAGCGGAATAAGCGGGGGAAGGGAGCGGCAACGAGGAGGCAGTGGAACACTTGGTGGTGCAGAGCAGTGGCCCACCAACACTGCAAGTCGCGAGAGGAGAGAAGAGCGGCTCCGGATACCATCTTAGTAGGTCCGTCAACTCCACCAAGGTCCACTTAGCATCGTGCCGAAGTGGTGCGGGGGGGAGAAAGAAGTGGTTCAAACTCTGGGGAAGGGAAACAATTACTATTAAACAGCCAATATATAACAACTCATTAGTAGGAGACAAACTGCTGACAAATACACAAGCAACATAAGTAAGCAACAATCAGCAACTGAGTCATATGAAAGCAATTGATGACTGAAATCAGAGGGAATTAAAAAGAAGATGAAAGAAAGGTTTAGAGCTCAAGCACAGATGCTTACAACTCCTGACAAATAAAAAGCAAAAACATTCCTGCATCTGTCCTTGAGTTAAAATGCATCACTTTCGTAATGCCCTTCCCCCCTAGTACCAGCCCTGTGTTCTCAGAATCTTATTGACCTTATTCTTAAAAGATCTCGATGACATTGAGCTAACTACATCGGCTGGTAGGCTGTATGTGTGACTGGAGAGTGATATACAGCGGTTTGCAGCTTCTCTGTATTCCATTAGAATTGCACACGATTATTTGGCACATTTTCCACATTCTAAATAGCTGAAATGATGAGTGCCCGTCGAAGCCATGGCGGCCGGGCGAAGCCGGGTGGGCCCACATAAAGAAGGAGCGCCCAGCGACAGCTGGGCGATCCGACTGGTTTCTCCATATGAGTCAACGACAGCGATCGTATGTTCTTCCGCCCAGAGAATGTTTTGTGCGAAAATCTTCACGTGTGAGACTGGAGGATTCAGCCGGTATCCGCTCTGGTAGGACACTTCCATCTAAGTCCCATTCACAGTTCTCTTGATGTTGGATAGTGAACAAACGGGCACATCATATCGATTTTGATCTCATTTACTTAGCAGAGGGTGAAAAAGCGGCCTCTTTTTCAGGTGAGGAGTTTTATCGCCAGTCACAAAGAGGCTGCTGAATTAAATGAATTTCACAAGAGTTCCGAATTAATCAGTGTTCGAATCACATGGATTGAGAAACATTTGAAAAACATATTATACTACTTTAGATGGAACCACTGAATTTTTTCCTTTTTTATTGTCATTCTATTCTTCTACGATTTTGTCTCCTCATTGACTGTGATATCCATATTACAAATACTTAAACCTAAGATCTGTACGTCAGTGTTACTCGTACTTTGGCAGCCTCATTTCTGAAAGCGAACTTTTGTGGTACTGACAGGGAACTATTTCAGTAAAATTTTGGACTGCGAAACAGCTGAATTTTTCGAATGAGATTTACTGAACAGACAGATACCTGTAAATACGTGTAAGACACCTGGCTGTTCCTTCATGTTACAGGACCCAGCCTCGCCGAAATTCATTATTTTAGGCACGAGATCATAAGTTAAAGACAGCTCCCGTGATAAAAGTGTCAAGGAATATTGCTGATCAATTACGAACGAAAAACACTTAAAAGAAAGAAAAACTCGAAAACCTGGCGTCCGAATATGGGGTTACGTACACTGTGCAGCTTTTATACGTACAGTGTGCAGCTTTCAGTGCAAGTAGAGCTTTTGCACCACAAAAATTGCATCATCTTGCGAGATGGGTTGCAGTTGACTGTATGTGCTGCCCAATGAATAAAATGTAATACAAGGAGAGCAGAATTAATATTTATGGCCACTAGCGCGGTCAGCCAAAAGTACACGCTCCGCGAACTTCATTATGCTCAACACAATTCCCGTTGATCTGAGTTGAAGCATGATTTGGTTAACATCGATCGATTCGGTCCAAGTGTGGCCCGTGCATTACGCTTTTACATAGAGGTGGTGAAAAGGTACTATTTCTGATTTCAGGTGATTTTGTCGGAAGGAGTCGGAGGCACGGGCAGGTGAACGAGGGTCGTGGAAGCGTAAAGCCTTGTAGGGGATCAAGAGTGATCCGCGAGCTGGGTGGTCGATACGATGCGAGAAAGTGCCTGAAGGAAAGAAATGCGTGTCGATTAACGATCGGGGTACGATAGGCTATAGGAGTACTGCCTGAAGGGGGGGGGGCACGAATTGTCGTTAGGTGGTCAAGACCCGGAGATCGTGCGGGCAACTAGAGTAAGCATTGCCTGAGGGGAGTAAGGAGGCGGGAGTGGCCCCCATAAAAGGCGGGGGTCAGTCGCAGGAGGCATGCTCATTTTGTTTTGTCGTCGTCTAAGCCGGCTTCGTTCCTCTCGCCTACTCCCCCCCCCCCCATCTTCCCTGTGGTACGGCCTAAGTGGCCGTGAGTCTAATATTAAGTGGTCTCTAAGGGGATAGTGAGGCCTGGGGAATAGTTTGGTACCCTCGAGCCGGACGCTGGACCTGTCGCCTCCACGGCGCTCACAATCCACTGCAGCCGACTTCGACTCCTCTCTTTTGATCTTGGGCCTATTTGTTGATCTCTCACCCATTTGTTACTTCGCTTTTCGTGTGTATTACTAATAAATTGTTTATTACTTGCCGGTCTCGCTGTCCGTGGCAATAGACGTCCAATTGATCTCGAACCAGCTGGGCTTACGATTTTTGTTCATGCAAGCAGATGTTTGTTTAGGTTTGGAAAGGTCGATACGCACGAATTTGTTTGAGATTTATTATTTAGTCATCTACGTGCTTGCGTCTTCATGATGCTATTGATATTGCCAATCAGCTGTTTTAATATTTTGTAGTCTTCCTTACATCCGGGTCCTCAGCTTTCCGTCCTATCCATCGAACTTAGCGATGCCACTTTTGCGCTGTTTGATGCTTACTGAAACTGCGTAGACGACCCTCCTTCCCAGTGGTCAAGCATGACCCCCCCCCCCGATTGGTTCGCACAACGATGCTGTACCCTGACCACTAACACTTGGCCGAGCCTCTGTGTCCCTCTCCAAATCAGGGCTTACGCTCTATAGGCATTGTCTTCTTTGTGAGCTAGCCCCTCGGTGACTCTGCTCATCTTGGCTTGAATCTTAGTCTTGGTTAAAGGAAAGGGCAGAGGGGCAACCGACTGGCACCCTCTCAACTACTCATGCCATTTCCATTGCATTGCTTTTAGTAATTTATGCTAATTAGTACTGTAAATAAAGCGTTAAAAATGAATCACTTTCTTGAAAACATTGCAGCTTCTCATCGAAAAACCACGAAGACTCATGTTCATTCCCTAACCGCTCCCTCCGCCGGACACTCATTAATAGAGTTAGACTGCTTCATACTTTGCGGCAGCGTCCAAGCGATCACTCTACCTGCGGACATCAGCGTGTCGAGCGTCCGTCAGCGACTAGGAAATATGGATATCGATCCAGCGTCCACCAGCGGTCAGACGTGGAGAGTATGGGGAAGTAGAAGGGTAGCAAATTGCTGGTAGAGTATGGGAAAGTAGGAGAAAGGAGACAGCTAGATAGGGCGTCGTGATATTGCGACGTGTGCAACCACACCGTACTACCTCACAAGACCACACTCCTGGTCGGTGGTTGACGCTGGTAGACGTTAGATCGATACCCATATTTTTCTAGCCCCTCGAGACGCTGAACGTCGCCGGTGCACGCTGGCGAACGCAAGATCGATACTCATACTTTCCCAGTTGCTGGCGGACGCTGCCGCAAGTTATGAAAGCAGCACCAACAGTT